AAATCAATCGATGCCAGCCAAACTTAGAGCCTTGCAATCACAAGTGCACCCGAAAGTTGGGGCGGGGGGGAAGGTTGACAATTCCCTTTTTGTGGGTAAGTAAAGGGGGTGATAGAACCAACACGCCATCTGCTTTCACCCAAGTGCAAGCTACATCTTGCCAAGCTACTTCAGGCCACCCAGTGCGGCCTTCTGTCCCTCCCGAACATCCCTCTCGCTCTATGCAACTTGCTCTCGGACGGCAAAGTCACATTGGCACATGGGGAGATGGCTGTCACAGTTCGGCAAAGTTCTAAGGGTTGATCCCCTTTCCATTCTTTTCAACCATCGCTCTTTTCAAAAGCCGGATCTGTTTCCCAGGGTTTCAAAGGAGGTTTAGAAAGATCCGGATCCCTGGACGGTACCCCTGGAACTGTCGTCTTTGCCAAGAAGCCAAAGAGGTGTATTTGAACACAAGAATGGAAATGGAAGGTCCCCTTAGAACAGTTCGGCAAAGTTAGCACGACAACGACTTGGTTGCTGTTGACCCCCCTGCAAAAAGTTTAACTTTTTGGAGGTTTAGTGGAAAACACCTTTATTTCAACCAAAAAGGTTAAAGTCTAAAAATCCAACCCAGTAGCAATCAAGACAAAGCCCTGCGACGTCTCACCCATCCCCCGAAAAAAAAACGCCACCGGCGCCACCTCCAAGAGGCGATGCGACACAAAGGGCAGCTCCCCGGACAAGCCGTGCCTGCGGCGGCTCCGGCCGAATCTACGCGGAGGTATCCAGCTTGACCGGAAAGGCTTCTGGCAAAGAGGACACCCCGACCGGCCCAGTGGCCCATGCCGTGCTAGCGCGCTCGCACGAAAGAAAGAAAGAAAGAAAGAAAGAAAGAAAGAAAGAAAGCAAGAAAGCAAGAAAGCAAGAAAGAAAGGGGGTTCTAGGAGGTGCCCTTGGTACCCGGAAATCACCACGAGTTCAAGCTGCAGAGCGATCTCTCTTGGGGATGAGTTGAAAGGTCGAAGCCCATAATGCCCCAAGCCCGCCCAACAATTCAAGCGCCAAACGCAAAGCAAGTGCGTGGCATGCCTGAATCTCCCCCAATGTGAGTCGCCGGCAAATGTGGGTAAACCAATAAACCATGTGCAAATCGCAAGCCTTGCTTCCCGCCAATGCCACTGAGCCATTATAAAACACAATGGACCAAGGCCGCTTGCCATTGCAAATGAGACAACTTGGTGCAGCAGCATTCGGGACTTGGATACTCCAGGGATCGTGCGCCCGCCAATTGAACCAGGTAGCAGAACCGCACTGCACCTGCCTCATTTCAGGTTTGGGGCGCTCACCCAACTGGTTCAAAAACAGTTTTTCCGGCAAAGGTTCAGACAAACCTCAATAGAGTCTGCAAGAAGACCGCTAGAACCACCTGACCAGCAGGAATCAATTGGTTTTGGGCGCGCATCTTTTTGGTGCTGCCGGCTTTCCGGACGGAGCTGGTCTCGAAAGGGAACCCCAGCAGCTTCAGCATTTCCTCTCCCTACCCAACATAAAAAGGGTGGCCGAGCCGCAAAAACTTGCTGAAGGGTCAAGTCCAAAGCCCTGTGTTTCTTTTTGGGACCCAATTTGGGTAATGACAACCCTGAAGGGTCAAAGATGGTGGTGCAACAGGCAAGAGTCTCATGGTTTCAATGGTTTGAACCCCAAGCACTGGTTTCAACGGTGGCGAATAAGTCCAGGACCTCGAGTTCGAGGGAACCAAATCATCGATCCAACTTTAAGCGAGCCACGGGTAGATGGTGATGCTCTCGATCCAGAGCGGCTCGCCTAGGCTCCCGCAACCATATGGACTTTTCCGTCGACCCTATTTGGGGTGCCCCCAAAACTGTACTCAAACCCCCTGCTAAAAGTTTTAAACTTTTAGTGGGTTAAACGGAACTGCCACCTGTCACCCTACAAACCCGAATGTAGGGGGTGGCAGGTGACGTGACTTGACCATCAACCCGGACCCAACAGGTTCAACATGGCTGTACTCATACACACATGGGGGTTTCATGTTAGCACTCGGAGGATGAAAGTAGACGCTGGGGCACTGGGGTCGCTGATGTGGCACAAATCCCATGTAATTCATGTCAGGGCCACTGACTGAGGTCCCTTAATTCCTATCTTTAAAGAGAGAGAGAGAGAGAGAGAGAGAGAGGAGACAGAAAGACATATATTATTTGTATATGTGTGTAGGTATATACGTACATTGTTACATACGTTCGGACGCACGAACGCACGGATGTATGTACGTATGTAATGTAATGTACTGTGATGTGATGTACTGTAATTGAATGTGATGTAACGTAACGTAATGCAATGTAATGTGAATGTAGATATGTATTTGTTGTATGATTTTGTATCTATACATGTGTAACATGTTGTCATACATATCTTTGCTGTGCCTCTTTTGGCTGAGGTCAAGCAAAGGAACACATGGACAACACATGTTCACACCAAAACAATTGGCAGGTTGGTTGACGGGGAAGTCCGGGCCAAGTAAAGGTTTCGGCCTGACCTGAGGGTTGGCTAGCAGCCCCTATCCCCCCCTTGGATGTTGCGTGGGATCATTCGCCCGCTCGCCAGGCCAAGGCCAGCTGTGCACAAACAGGCTTTCTGTTTGAATGCCACAAATCGGGGCCCCGTCTCGGGCGAGACGCCCGGCCAAGTTAGTAAGTTGGTAACTAAACTTAGGAGATCACCCGTACCTGAACCCTCAAACTACCCTTAAAAAATGGGATATCACCAACCATAATTTTGGGGGTCAAACCCATTTTTAAGTTGGACTCTTGAGGGTTCAGGTACAATTCCCCAAGTGGAGATACCCCTGATAGCGGATCAGCACCCGGGTGGCCAACCACTCACTTGGCCGAGCATCCATTGACGTAGCGCAACCAAAAACAAAACGAAAACACCCCGTTGGCGGTGCAGTGGCAGCTTCACCCAAGAAAACTTGGACGCAAATTTCGGAGCCCTTCCAGAAGTTTATTTTGTTCATCTTGAAGATCCTCCCACAAGACTCCTGTTCACATCCAGAACCTTCCAATGGAGGGGCGTTCGGGCCCTGCCTGGCAGACCCTCTGGTCTCAGCAGGGAGAAGCCCAGGTGTGTCAGCGGCCAAGATCGCCCCACCTGGCAAAGGAGCGGAAGCGGTCGCAGTCGCCGGCCGAGGGCTTTGAAGTCCGAAACCAAAGTTCTCGAGACGGATGCGGCCCCGGCCATTCGCTTCAGTGCCCTGAAAATGAGAAAATATGTCCGGTAGTGATAGATTCCCTTTAAAAGCAAGGGAAAATAATAATAACAACAAAAATAAAATAAAAATAATAATAATAATATACCCTGGACGTCGGAGGCCATTTCTGAAATGGCCTAGTACCCCTCGGCCATTTTAAGAAAATGCTCGGCCATTTGTGGGTCTTCACCAACAGCCTATTAAGGAACATCAAACGGCCAATTCTGAAATGGCTCTTAGGTATGGCATTGCTTTGCGATTCAGTGTGCTTCAGTGGGTTGGGGTTGCCTGTTGAAGGTCTTGGCCAATAGCTCTGAGAGCTTTTCAGCAAGGCAAACTGCATTTTTACAAGCCCTGGGCGTCCTCGCCCATGTCTGAAAAGGCCTAGGTACCTTCGACCATGCTAAGGAAACGCTGGACCATTTTAGGGTCCTTACAAACGTCTGTTTAAAAGTCGTCGAGCGGCATTTTCCGAAATTGCTGTTGTCATGGCCCGGCAGCCAGGAGCCTTGTGTGTTGTGTGAGCTTGGTCGGCTTAACGCTCGCTCTTACGTGTGCGTGTTGGCGCAACGGGCGTCTTACAGCAGTCTCGGAGAAGCTGGAGCGTGGACAAAGCGTAGACAAAGCGTGGAAGAGCCATTTGTGGGCGTGGAAAAGCCATTTCTGGGAGTGGAACATCCATTTAGGGGAGTGGACAAACCGTGGACACCCCGCCGAATGCCACCTCAGCCTGAAGGGCATGCAAGTTAAAGTGGCGGAGCTGAAGTCTACAGAGCTCAACTGCGCGACCTTTTCAAAGACAAAAGGCGATTCCAAACGAGCCTAGCTTGAACACGGGCTTGCGTGATGGCTGGACTACGGCCGCGGTAGCTTATTGGCTAACATCGAGCTCCACAAATGGTTGTCCAAAGCTACTGAAAACGCGGGTTTTTCTTTTTTAGGTCCTTCGACAAACAGCCAGTCAAAGGAATTTGGAAGTTCAGGGAGTCAAATTCTGACTTGGCAAATGTGAGCTTGGAGCCTATATGATTGCCAGCTTTGTGTGGGGGGGCGGTCTTGCTTATTGGCCAACATGGTAGTCCAGAAATATGGTCTTACTTATTGGCCAACATGGGAATCCAGAAATGGCTCTTCGGAACCAGTGAAAACATGCATTCTTGCCACAAATGGCTCTTCGACAAACGGCCGTTTCTGAAAAGGCCTTTTGAATATAATAATAATACTAATAATAATATTAAGAATAATAATCATAATACTAATAATAAATATTCTTAAGCAACTGAAACAGGGTTGCTCCGTAAATTGATCAAACCATGGACATCGTCCAAACGGGTTCGGATGGGATTCCTAAAGTCTTGGGACAGCATGTCCGATCAAAGGGAACCTGAAGGGGAGCTGGAAGGGAGTCCAGTGCAGAGCCAACAGAATCGTTTCTTATGGATTTCTGCTATATGATTGACCCTGTCCGGTGCTCGTTCGGAAAAGTGCTCTTTCAGTTTAAAGCTGAAAGGGACACCTCTTCTACAGTTCGCGAGCCATATAGAAGGGTGTGCGCCGGCCAGAAAATGGTCTACAACCAGACTCTGCCGCTCACTTCGGAACGAAGGTGGAGGGCCAAGGTGTTCCGCAGGGTGGAACACCTCCACACTCCGAATCCGGCCGCCGATGCGTCTGTCTCTTCAGTGTAGTGTAAAATTCGGACCTGACTGCTGACGTCGCAAAAATCACACACATGGAGTATAAGTGTCTAGTAGTCGGTTACCACTCCCAAATTTGTGGAACCTGCCAAACCCCACCCCACCCCACCCCACCCCCCCACCCCACCCCACCCCACCCCAGCCCAGCCCAGCCCAGCCCTGCCCAGCCCAGCCCAGCCCACCCCACCGAACCTTGGCCACGAAGAAGTGCTCTGAGAGCATCCCCGGCACTGTGCCTACCTGGAGCTCGACTCGAACTAAGGGAGACCCCAAGCCGACCTTTTGGTTGCGGGGGGAAATGAGGCGAAAAACTGGTTGGTCTCAGGGAATGACCGCTTTTCGGGATTCCCTCAAAGAAGCCATGGATGGGGAATGACCGAATGACCTGACCTTTTGGTTGTGGGGGGAAACTGAGGCTAAAACTTGTTGGTGCTCAGTACCTAGATAGCCAAGCTGCTGCTTTTTCCAGTGACTCTTGCTGGCTATTCGGATCAAGTGCATGGAAAAAACAGCAACTGGCAATCCAGGTGGGAATGACCCACCGTTTTTGGGGATCCCTGAAGGGAAGCCAGAAAAGATGGTTGATTGGGGTCATTCCCTCATTCCCTGCTGAGAACCAGCAAGAAAAGGAGGGAAAGTAAAGAAAAAAGCGAGCTACCTGCAGGGCCCATTGATACACACAGGTTTGCTCGAGCTTTCGTGGCAAATAAGTGCGCGAGAAATGGTAAATGCAAACACATGCAAACACACGGATTGCGGGCAGAGCTTTGGCCTTGCACACTTTTTGGATTTGCGCCCGAGTTGAGAAAGTTGCGCGCCAGTAGCGGGACATTGTGCTCGAGTGGCCGGTTCGTTTTCTCCGGAGCACTTCAGCAAAGCAGCCAGGCAACCTCAAAATGCGCTATGGTTTTTTTTGTTGATGGTCTACATCCAGAAATACAAAGACAAGTACGCATGAACGACCCATCCACATTCTACCGACCACGCCATATCCCCCCTTAGTGATACCACTGTCCGGAGCACTTTCTTGTGTATCAAAGGGTCCTTCAGGTCAGTCGAAAAATCACGCCAGGTGGGGAACTCTACAAATTCGGCAAGGAGATCAAACTCTGGATGGACGAACTCCACTTCGCACCAAACAATGAAACCATGCTTAAACTTGGTGGGCATTTACAGGGGAATCATCATTCCAGGTTTCCTAGGTGGTGCCGGATTTCGTCCATCCACGCACTTCGCACCAATTGATAAGTGGTTTGTCCCATTGTGTATAGTGGGCTTCATCCATCCCAGCTTGTGCAACATGAATTTTGTCCATCCAGTAAAAAAACATGTGGAGACAGGACGTGTCCACCGGAAAACCTGGTTGGACAGGAATTCGCCAAAATTGAAAAAAACTGTCAGAGGCCCCGCGCCCCTCCCCCCCATTTGTAGGCACCGTCCCCTACACGCCCCGAAGAACCCGCGCCAGGACGTAGTGCTTGCCGTCGGAGCCTTCCAAACAGGCGGCCCAGAACCTAGGGCGACGACGGCAAAGCGTCGCTCAGAAGGTTGCAAATGATTACAACATGTATATACTCTGGAGTTCAAACCACCATTAAAACAACCAGGGCTCATACAACCATTGTTTGCCTAAGGATTGTTATCATCCAAATTTCATCAACCACTCTTTCAATGGGGGTTGAATCCTCGGGTATATATATATATATATTGTATACCTGGAAACTCCTTCCGGCCAAAATTTCAGCCGCGGACTCAAAAAGGCGCCTTTTTGCGTCCGCCGGCGGAAATTGGGATCTCCCAAAAATCGCGCGGCGTTTTTGCTTTTCCGGCGGCGTTTCTCACACGCGGCCTTAAAGAGCATTGCTGCCACAACTTTTGTTTTGACCCATGCACATGCGCCAATGTGACAAGCGTTGATTCTGCAAACCGCCATTTGTCTCATTATATTCAATATATGCAGCCACAAAGCAGCCTTTTGCAACTTGCAGCCACCGCAGTACCTGCGCATGCCTACCGCCAATCTCTTCAATCAGGGCATGACGCAGCCCGGGTGTATGAATCATGTTTGTTCGATGCGTGTGGCGAGTACGCAGCCCTCTTTGTCTCCACTGCTTCTGGCTTCAAAGGGGCTGGTTGCCCCAAAATACAGGAATCAGTTTTTTTCCTGCACGCACGGTTTAATAAACGGTTTTGTATTTTGTTGGTGTTTCGGGCTACGGCGGAAACACGCGGGATTTCGGCGGAAACACGCGGGATTACGGCGGAAACACGCGTCCAAAGAGTGGATGTTCTCAGGGCCTTTGATTGCGCTGCTTGACGCTTGATCTCCTTACCTTCGATTCGTGCTGTTATTAGCATCACTGTGCAAAAGCACGTCTGGTCACAAATGCATTGCTAGCAGAAATCATGATGCACGCAGTTGGCTATGTAGTTGCGGGCACCGAGCGTCAAAGCTCGTCTATTGATGTGCAAGTGCTTGCCATTTCCGGCCTGCGCATTGCATTGTTCTCTGGATGGGTGGAGTCGTTGCTGCGTGCCCAGTGCCCATCTTCATAACTTTCAGCAGCGTTTGTGAGCAAATCAAAGACATGCCAGTTGGTTTTGCATTGTGGGAGCAAGTGCTTGGTGCAGTTTACGATGTGCTAGACCAGGCTTTGCGGCTGTTTCTCAGAGCTGCCGGCGATTTTTTGTGCTTGCGGCTGAAATTCTTGCTGAACGCAAAGCGGCTGAAATTTTGGCCGGACGGAGGTTCCAGGTATACATAGATACGTATCATGTGCGTCCAGTTCTTTTTGTTTGGGACACCAGAAATCGATCCCCTAACTTTGAGTCATGCTTTAAAAACGGGGCTGCGAATGTGTCTTTTTTGTTGGTGGACCCCCGTCAAAAAAAAGAAATTGGTGGTTTCCTTTGGTGAACCCCTCCAAAGTGAGAGGTCCAGAGTTTGCTTTGGTCCTACATACATATATTTATATACATATGGTTTGTGTCCAGGGCCCTTGGCCGAAAAGAGGTTCTCGCTTTCTCCTTGGAATCTTGGTAACTCCAAAAGGGCCCTCTTGACCCGAGAAGCCAACAAATTTCTACTGCGTTCCTACCTTGTCAGGCATCGGGTTGCTCGGGCGGCTGTAAAGCAAGACCGTAGTTTCGCATCTGTTTCACTGGAGATGTGGTTTAGGGACCTCTGGAAGGCCACTATGGTTTCATCGGAGATGGAAGGGACCTCACTCGAAGCTTTGGCACCAGGCTTGGCACCAAGATGCTGAGATATGGCCGTGGCTCAAAAAAAACCGTACCAAAGTGGCACCTTGGTACATGGAACCAGTGAGTAAAACTTCTGCGCTTTGCCCTGGCTCTTAAAAAAAATTGAGCCGCGCCCAGAAAACGGGACCCACCACACGAGAATCAAGATGCTTGGGGTTTGAGAATGGGATCTCTCCTTCCCACGGCCCCCCTCCGCCCTCTTCATGGAAGGAGATTAGCGGGGAGTTCATACCTTTCTCCTGTCCCGATGCCGGATGGTGGATTCCCAGGGGGAAAAAGAACACAAATTCGGCGTACTTTTTCTTGGTTGACTTTGAAGGAATTGGAACCCTTCCCCAAAAACGGGAGAAAAAGGGGCACCACGAAACAACCGGTCTTAGCCCAAGTGACTAATTAGTCTGAAACGGAACTCAGGGAGCGCGCCTATAACCCACTAACCAACCTTTCAAAGTTGGATCCAAGATGAACCGACATGACGGTGCCATTGTCCATTGGAAGCTTTAGAACCTGACTTGCTCGACGCTCGAAGCCAGCTCGGATGCCGGGCATTTGGCGGCCTGCCTCACGCAAGTCACCAATGTCATAATGTGGGTGTGTGTTTTTTTTGGAGGCATATATATATATGCATATATGCATATATATATATATATGTATATTTATTTATTTCTGAAAATTGGGGACCCCTCCAGGTTGGTGTTCTTTTGGTTTCCATTCAAAACCCATCCAAAGAGGTCCCCTATTTTGAAAAACGGTTGTCCTGATTCGACCACAGAAAAAAGGCATCCCTGATGACAAGGCGAATGCTCAAGGGTTCAGTGCAGCTTGGTGACTGACATGGGGGACCAAGGGTTCCTTTTGGATGGATTCGCCCGGCCACATGTTCTACCATGAAGTTCGGCGCAAAGTCAGAGTTGTTGACATTGACATTGAACCCTGCAAACAAATGGCTCGAGGAGACAAAGAAGACGACTACCTGGACCCTCAGACCTCCCATAAACATGGGTTACTGCAACCCAAAGTTTTGGTTGGCAAGTTCCCTCTGCCTGAACCCTCAAAATTCCCTTAAAAATGGGTTTGACCCCCAAAATTACGGTTGGTGATATCCCATTTTTTAGGGTAGTTTGAGGGTTCAGGTGAGTTAAACCGGCCTTCCTTTCTAAGCAAAACGCATCCTGCGATTTGAGGCTCCCATTTGGGCCATCGACTCGCCGCAACGCGAAGCCGCGCAAATTTGGCCAAGCCCGCAGTCAAAAACCGAAATGTTCCCCCCGTCCCACAGTATGTCAGGATCAGGGATTGGCCGCCTATTGGTTCTAAAGGGGGTTTGCTGGGGAAAATGGCCCCGTGAACCAACCATCTGCAAACGTTGAAGCAACTCCAAAATTAAGGGATCTTTGAGTAACATGGTAACCTCCTTTTACCAGGGAATCGTTGAGCTCGAAGCCTATCAAGGTGTTCGCAAACAAACAAGACATGTGGGTGTTGAGTTTCATTTCAACAAAGCAAACCACTGACAGCAGTTGCTTTTTGCTATGCAAAAAACAATGATGGTGTTGTGTTGATACAAGACGTAACCCAATGTCAAGGGAGTTCTCTGGTACGCGGATTGGAGGTATAGAGGTTCTAAACCACTTATATTAGGTGTATTTTCTGCCTTACAAGCTTATATCGGTGGGAACAAAAACCAACCATAACTCCTAAGCTACCTGAACACGCAACCTTAAAAACATATCCCCCAATTAATTAATCTGGGGCAAAACGCTAAGGGTTTGTCCTTTTCTGGGCTTTTCTTGTTCATTTTTCTCTGAGGGTACCTTCACAATGTCTTTGAACAGACACACATCCCCTCTTTGCAACAGCCATGGAAGTGACTTTGTAGGCTTCGTTTCCAAGGGTAGCCCCAATTCGACCCAAAGACTTAAGTCCCTTGAGGCGGAGCATGTTGGGGTCTCAAGATCCATTCCATTGGACGCCTTGGATCCGAAGGCGTCCGAGACCGTCTTCTGCGCGCCACAAACGAGCCTCGGCAAGAGGGCCGGCGGTTGGACATAGAACATATAATACATGTGTATATATATATATATATGATATATGTACAACTAGATCCTTGTGTTGTGAATTTTCAGAGCTTCACATAATTCAGGTGATTCAGGTGGGTCTCATGGAGAGGGGTCTGTGAGCATTGACTTATTTGTATGTATATATATATGTAAAACATATTCTCTGTACCGGGAGTCTTGATCATGGGTGAGGTCCTAAATTCTCTCTGTGAGGCCATAGTTGGTCCGCGCACACATCCCGGGGTGACTTAGACATGTCCAAATAGTTGTCTTCACAACCCTTGGTATGGTAGCAAAAAACAACAACTTTTTTTTTGCAACGCCCTACTAAAAATAATGAACCAAAAACCAAACAACTTGCCAAGAACAGTGAAGCTGTTGTGTACAACCCTTCTGATTCTGGAACGGCAGGAGCGTCGCACTAGAAGGCGACCGAAGCCATCCTTCTCCTTACATCGTTCCAAAAGGAAGCTCACTTGAAATCTGCCTTTCCGGAAGGCAACATAGGTGTGCCCTTGTTTACTTTTTTGTTTTCTGCTAAGGCGTTCATTTTTATGGTCGTCTCCCCAACTGACATGGGAATTTCGGTACGCACACCTACATTTCTACTGCTGCTCATCTGTGTGTAAGTGGCGTGTGTAGGTGTGTGTGTGTCCCATGGCATCCCAAGTTGGCTGGCCAGATTGTTGCTTGGGCCATTGACAAGAATGATGAAGCATCGGCAAACCCGACAAATAGGGCTTCCTTATTCAGCAACCCTACGCATCAGATTTCGGAGGCGTTGGAGGGGGTGTTATCTCCCGTGGCAGTCTCACCAAGGTCCCTTTCGAGGGAAGATGACTGGTTTCCCTTCAACATCAACCTATCAAAACAGGCGCCCTTGTTTGCTCCCTCACTGGTTGTTCGGCCCGGCGGCACTGCGTAAAGTCCTCGTGAACTTCGTTGGAAAGGAAAACTCAAAGCAACCTCAAAGCAACCGAACTCTGTTCGCGCCTGCTGCGAGTGCCAGCCTCGGATGGAAGCGGTGCAACGAGGTTTGCCTCTTCTTGGCCTCCTGATGTTTAAAAAAACCGGTGTTGCATATATATATATATGTATTTATGTATTTAATATACATGAGGAGGACAAAAGCTTATGCCTCTTGACACTTGCTGGTTTCTGCAAAGCCGTGTGGATCACCCGCGGATCGAATTTCCAACTCCGTTTTGTGTGCCTGGGGGGGGGCCAATCATCGATCGTGTTTTAATCTAAAGTAGTTTAAAGGCTTTGGAGTGTGAAAATTCAAGTCGCTAACGACCCAGCAACAACTTGCCGGATTCTAGGCGGAAAGGGTTGCGTTCTCTGAGAGAAGGCAAAAGAGGCGCAACTTTTGTCCTGGCCGTTATAATGTATATGTAAATATGTATGTAACACGCAAATATGAACCATATACCTCAAAATTTGCACTAGTGCCCTGCAAAAATGAAAGCAAAGCATTGTGTGCAGGAGTGATACATGAGGGTTGTCTGAAATTCCTTGTTCCGGAAACCGCCGTCTTCGCGAGGAAAAAAATAACTTCCGCGGACCCCATCGCGGAACTTTCGCGGGGCTGTTTTCAGAGCATTCATCACAAGAGCAGTGCACGAAGTATACTTTCGCAGCCCCAGCTCGACAGTCGCAGCTTTGAAATACGAAAGTAGCACGAAAAGTAAACTTCCGCTCGAAAGTCAAAAGTTTTGAATTCGAAAGCAGTACACGAAGTGCAACTCTAGCTCGAAAGTCGCAACCTTTCGGTTCCATTGTAGCACGCGAAGCGCGCTTCCGCAGCTCCAGCTCACAAGCCGTGCGGCAGCACACGAGAGGACCCGTTGGCCTCATGTCCGGAAACTGGCGGGGAGGTCCGTCGACTTTCGCGAAACTTTTGCGGATCTTACGCCAAACATTCGCGAAAATCCGGCTGGAAGTTTGCACTCAACTTGGCCAAAACTCCCACAAGCAGGCTGGGCATTTCCAGACCAATTTTAGTCTGCGGGCATTCTGCGCGCACTGTCGGCAACTACACACGGTTCATCCCTCCAGCTTCCTGTTAGCAAGCCACCCTTTCACAAAACTTTCGCGAACAAAAAATAACTTGCGCGACCCCCTTCGCGAAACTTTCGCGGAGGTAAATGCTAAGACCAAAAGGTCTTCCCCTTCACAGCTCAATACAAGGACCTTTCGGACGACTCTCACATACCCTTGAAAACCAGCAGGGGAAAATAAGAAATACGCTTAGACTCTTAAGTAAATGGCAGCATACCTAACTGTGTTTATAAGCCCACCAAACCATCAGGCCAAGTTCACCCACGTTTAGACCTAGGAACTTGAACACCAACGCCCAAGTTGAAGTTTGGATGTTCCACATTTTTACGGAATCCCCATCGGGGGGGAAGGTATCTGGGGGGCGGTAGTTGAGAGCCCGTTTTGGGTTCTTTAGGATTCCCTAGGGTTTCTCAGGCAGAGCACAAAGCGATTTACTTGGGTGTGTCTTTTTGAGACCACCCTTAGGGTTGGCTTAAAGGGACACCAAAGGGCAACCACCCATGCTGAGAATCCCGAATCTTCACAAATACACAAGGGTTGGTTGCTACCTCTTGACTTCTTGACAGGGTCCTCACAAGAGGATTCCTTTTGATTTACCTCACCGCCTAAATCCCCGTCCCCCCTTTCCGTGGGTTGCTTCAAGCACCCAAGGGCATTCCTTGGGACATTTGCGGTGCTCATAGTTTAGGGACAAATATCCAGAGACTCCAGGTGAGCCTGGGTGACATGGCTATCCTTCGCAAGGAAGCCAGACATAGCCTACGTAGCCTAGGGGGGACACTTTTTTTTGTTTTTTAAGGTAGTCCTGAAAAGGAACAACCAGTCTTTGCCAGAATAGGCTTGGTTGCTTAATCTGCCCCCAAACACTTTTTGTTTCGTGGGAAGCATCTGCCAGGCTCCGAAAGGTTAACTGCCAGGTCAAACCCAAAGAGCACAGTGCTGCAGGGAGGGGGTTCTCAAAATGGTGGATTGGTAGTTGAAGGAAAAACAACAAGAACCGACAGGTTTAGGGTGGTGCGAGGTGCGAGTTGTGATCCGATCCACTCTGAAAGCCCCAAAGGTGACTCAAGTCCATGAACTCCATGGGAGACTCCAGCGTGGCGGACACGGGTGACATGGCCATCCTTCGAAAGGAAACCAAACGAACTAGGTTTAGGGTGTCTAGGTCCTCCAGTAGAGTGGTCAGAACAAGGGTACCGTTTTTTTTTTTTGTTTAATAAATTTATTTCTGTAGTCTATTTTAGTAGGGGCACCCTCCCCCAAAAAAGAAACGGTAAAAGGGCACCTAGCTGGGGGACCTAGGTGTGTTGCTGCGGGGTTCCCGAGGGCAACCACTTCGCTCGGCCACTCCGCTCGGCTACTTGGCCGCCGAGCGGTGAAGCGCCAGCCGCCTTCCGCGCGCCGGAAGCTCAAGACGAAGTCGGAGCCCAGGCGCTCCAAGTCTTCCTAGTCAGAGGGGTGTGGGTCAAAACCAATGGTTTGGGGGGCACCCGAACGACCATGTAACTTCCACTTGCAAAAGGCCCCTGGATAAATATATATATATATATATATATTTCCAGTAGCGATAGATTCCCTTTAAAACCAACAGGGGAAATGACAAATATTCTTAAGCACATGGAAGGTATGTGGCTGTGGTGGTCAAAACCGTGTTGGGATCCCATTTTGGTTGGTTGGTAAATGGTGGTTTTCCTGGGTGTCTGTGTTTCTTGTCTTTTTTTGGAGCACTCAAACGCTGGCTGTCCTTTCCCTTCCCCTTTAAATCCAAGTTGAGAACCATTAAAAACCATGGGGGCTCACACAACCACCAGTGCTTGCCTAAGGATTATCATCATCCAAAGTCTGTCCACCATTAAGTTAATGGGACTTCTGAATGCTAGAAAGATGGGTGTATGTGTTGAGACCACTAAAATGGTGGCGTTTCTTTTTGGTTCACCTTTAAATCCACAACAAAAACATGGGGTAGCCGCAAAACAAGACAACTTCAGATGAGTGGTTTGGAGCCGATTCGGTTTGGCGGTGTTCCGGGCCGGTTTCCCGTTGACCCTCTACACAAGACAGTCAGATCCACAAACACCAATCCAAACCACCAACGAAGGGTTACCTGATTAAAACTGGCTCGTCCTTTTTTTGCTACACTTTTTTTTGTGGTCCTGATTTTGAGGATAACCTAGATCGGTAACCCTGTGATATTCAGAACCCCTGCTTGAGGGTCACCGCGCTAATGTTGACCTCCCATACTAATCAACCCAGCTTATGCGGGTGTCCCTGGGTTTAGTGGGGAATCAGTTTGGAGGGCCCCCCCCTCCCTATGAATGAACTGGGGTGAATTCTGGGGTCAACATTACCTCTAATTCAGCCGCACGAGGCGGCCGTCACGTCAGCCGCACGAGGACCAGAAATCAGAGCGTCGCGAGTGGCAGCCGTTCTTTCTACCAACACTTTGCTCCTCGCAGGCCTCAGCCACTCGTTTCACCAAACCCCTGCGAACCGAAAGTTACGACCTGCCAAAGTTAGAGGCTCAGCCATTGCGAAGAAGATCAGGGCCCTGGAGTGGTATACTACCAGCCCTATTAACACACGCACACACACACACACACACAATGGGCGTTAAGAAATTGAACCCTGAGTCTCGACCAACCGATTTGCTGTAGTTGGGTATGAATGATGCTACGGCAAATGCCCTAAACGTCGCACGTAAACCAACCAAACAACCATGAACATGTACAGGGCTTCCCTTGCTCCCTACTCGCAATGGCGCCGGTAAACAACAGTGGTTGGGTGAGACTGAGATGGATTCCACTGCCAAACCACTCCATGAGCTTGTTCACCTGTATATACCTGTATACTGTATACACAACTATATAGGCACCAGCGGGTACGCTGATTTGCCTGGGGGTATCCAAACGAAGCAGTGAAAACCTTTTAGAAGGGAAACCAAACCTGATTCGGAGTCGATGTGTCTGGCGAAATGTCCATTGTCTTCCCTCCCGTCCACTGGAACCTCTTTCCTTTGGGGAGCATTTCTCTGGTGGGTTCCATGGCAAGGTGGAGGGCAGTAGGTGACCAAAACGCTGAGCTCATTGAGTCGACTGGTTTCAGCTGCGTCCCGAACGAACGGTTTTTTTTCTTGTTCAGTCTTGGGTCCCGGAGAAGTTCTGCATCGAGCAGACTGAAGTGACGGATTGATTCGCCATGCGCACATCGTTCTCTTTACTGGGCTGTCCTCAGATCCGCTGCCAAAACAAAAACCTTTAGTGAGTTCAATGAGAACTCCCGAAACACCTAAAAACCTAAGGCGATGGCGGGAACCACCGAGTCTTCATTTCCTTTACCCATCGTTCTTTTCAGAAACCCATGGGAGAGGTACTGCTAGTTGATGCTTCGAATGCATTTTCATTTCAGGCAAGGGTTTGGGAGGTACTGTGGAGGGACGAAATCCACTTCGCACCCGTGGATGGTTTGTCCCATTGTTTATAATTAGGGGTTCGTCCGTCCCAGCTGGTGCAGGATTTTGTCCACAGCATGGAGGCGATATTTCTCTTTTCTTCGTACGTACTGCCTGACAAGCTTATATCGGTGGAAAACACCATACCTCCAAAACCCGCCTTTGAAATCACCCCCGAATTGACCTGGGGCAACCCTCTTACGCCTCTTAGGTGTTGTTGTTTTCTCCCTGAGGGTACCCTTTCTGGGGTTGGCTTAAGGAACTTAAGGGGAAACCAAAGGCAAGCCACCGATCTGGCGTGTCCCTAAACAAATGAGTCATGATCAAGACTCCGGTATTAAAATGGTCTACTCAGAACCATGTAAAGAAATAAGAGGACGGCCGCAGCCATTTCTGGTATTTATCCCTAACCTTCAAATCTACCTGTACCCTCCAAATTCCCATAAAAATTGGATATCACCCCCAAATTATGGTTGGTGATCTCCCATTTTTATGGGTAGTTTGAGGGTCCAGGTACACGAATCGGTTTCGAGCACGTGGCTCAAATTTTACGCGGCCCCTTCGGCGTTTTCGCACGGCTTCTCCTGCTTCTCCTGCTTCGTGTCTCTTGGCCCCGGCTCATCGCGGAGGCTCACCTCGGAGAAAACCGGAAAACGGATCCATCGCGCGTATTCGGCGAGAGAGCCGACCGCAAGCGAGTGCTTAACCATTGCCTCTACTTTACGAATGGTTGAAAACACCAGATAGGATGGAAAACACCAAATACCTTGACACTGGCTTCTAGATAGCCAAGCTGCAATCGCTTCTTCTTTTTTTTCAGCCACTGCTGGTTTTGGGGGTAAAGTAGGTGGAAAAAAGCGATCGCAACTGGCGATCCAGGTAAACCAACTAACCAGATGCCAGTTCGGCAAAAGCCGGGTGTTTGGTGCGTATTCGGCGTTTCCTCTCTTGCCTTGTTCTAACCGCACCATTTGCGAGTGTATGTTTCTATATGAATGTTTTTAGGGTACTCTTCTTGTTTGACCCCCGCCCAATTTGACGCAAACCAATTTCGTTCTTTGGGTAAGACCTCTTCTGAATTGCCCAATTGTTTGGCTTTGGGAAGAAAGACACCCAACCTGTGCCGGTGAGACTTGCTGTTGGCCACAAGAAAAGGATCGATTCCCCAATCTCTTCACCCATCGTTCTGTTGACAAATAACCTATTTTCCGAGGGGGTGATATTTTTTTGAAGAGAAGGATCCCTGAAGAGAATGGGGAAGGTACAGCTAGAGAATCAGCTCAAGAAGTGAGTTGTCTAGAGGGGGAACTTTGGACAATTTGATCCCCCTTTATTTGGGGGCAATTCCAGGTTCGTTCCCGGGCGCAAAAAAAAATCTGGACTTCCAGGGATAACCTTTGGCCCAATCAACTAACTTGCTGGAGGGATAGACAGGGAAGGGAATGAACCCACAATTCCCTCAAAGTAGGGGATGCTTTATAGGGGTCATTCCCTCATTCCCCACGGAGCACCAGCCAGTTCACGGTTTCTGATTCTACAAGTGGTTGGCTTTTGTTGGGGTTCCTTCCGCGAATTTCTAGAGGAGTATACTCCCTTGACCTCTCACAGGCTTTTCCTCATAGGTGCCCATTTTGGGGGGGTCCACTTCCCAACAGTTTTGGCCCACGTGGGTGGTTCCTTCCGTTCGCTGGGGGAAGCTTAGAGGTTCTTTCGGAAGCCAGCGCTCGCAAGCTCGGACCTTGGTCTCGCTAGCTCAAATCATGTATGCCGACCATGGTTCCCTCACCCGGCACGTGCAAGTGAGACCCACATGTTCCATAACCATTCTACCTCCCAACTGTTCACTCTGGGGAGGAACTACAAGAAAGCCTATATATATATATATATATATATGTATCCTCGCCACAAATAAAAACATCCTTTGTCCCTCGCCTCTGGTTTTGGTGCTTTGGGATTATTCACCCTAGATAACTCCCTGTTGGTGTCATTGAGAGATCCTTGGAATGTCAACCTCGGATTCATCTACCTGTCGGATGATCCGGATCACCTCTCCACTGTCCACTGGGACAAGCCCCTGATGAAATTCAACGGGGGATTCTGCGAGTTTGTCTCCAAATTGAGAGACCCTAAGAACGGTTGGTTTTGTGTTGGTGTCCCTGTGCACAAACCTAAAATCAGGGCTACCTCTAAGTTTCTCAAAATGATCCAGTTTTTGTGGTTTGTGTGTTTTCGGGCAACCAACAGAAAACAACTGCATATTGGGGTTCCCCTATCTGGGTGTTTCTTGGAATAGGGGGGACTCCCCCCCAAAACGGCTTCGGCGTTCCTTCTATTTCCCTTTAACCCCAACCGAAAGGGGGTTCCCCCAAAACACAACACCCATTTTGAGAAGTACCCACCTTCAGAACACAACCCCCCCCCCGCCCCAAAATGTTGGTTTTCCACTCGGTTCCCTTTAAATCCACACAAAATGGGAGGTGCCCTGACCAACGAAAAGCACCTCCAGCTCTTGACTCCGGGGCGACTGATCGTCAAGCCGCGCGTTTCGCCGGCCTCGAAGCCTTCATCCTCGCTCAGGTTCGCTGGCTCCACCGCCCAGGAGAAGACGCCCCCCGCAGAGGCGCCATCCTCCGGGGGCGACCGGTGAACGCAACCTCGACCCCCCAAACTGCCCATCAGAAAAAGACGACGGGAATGCAGCCCATTTGTAGGCAACCCGTTTTGATGGCTAGTTTGAGGGTCCAGGTACGCGTTGTTGGTAGACATTCAAGCAAGGAAGAAAGGGTACCTCTTTTGTGTGTCTGGGTCTATAAACCCTACACATCACCCCACCAATTAAAGTAAACTCACTTGGAAAAAGCTAGCCCAACAAGCGATGTCGAAAGCCACCTTTCCATTGGAAATATAGGAGACTCGCACCTCAAACAGGGATCCTTAAACCTGAACATTGCAACTTGTAAATGGTGGTTTCCAACTGTATTTTGGTGTTAAAAAAGCAACATGATTCAAATGGAAAGGCAAAATGGTCACATGGGTATGTGTTTTTTTGACGTGGCCGTGCCGGGAGGTTGGTATAAGGGGTATGAATCGCAGGTATGGTTCGGGGTATGGCTCGGGGGTATGATTCGGGGTATGGCTCGCGCGGAACTCTTGCTTTGTGGCTTTGGACACTGCAAAGCTCCCGTGCGCTGGCAACTGGATAGCCGTGAGAATTTGGACCGCTTAGTTGCTACAAGCCAGCCTGGGGCGCTTGTGCGTGGCCTGCACTAGACAGCTGCCACTCTGGGTTAGCGAAAGCTGCTGCGCTAGGTGGAAGGCGCAGAGCCACTGCCTGAGGCGAACGTCATGGCCACCTCCACTTGGAGTTCAAGCGACCCGCGTGCTCACAGACCCAAGCAAGCGTTGCTTAAGGGGAAGCGCCGCCGCCCAGTCAGGCCCGCCACCCGCGCCAGTCACGAACCAGCGTAAGGGCAAGACAGCGTGACATCCTCAAATTGGAGCCGCGCAGAGGCTAGTGGGCCTCTCACAGGTGGTGCACCGTGTCGCGCTTGATACATCGCAGTAAGCCTTCCGAACCCACCTTCTCGCGAACTTCTGCGAAAAGAGCCGCGAGCTGGTTCCTGCAGTGCTTCTCTTTGAGTTTTGTGTCTTCTGAGGATTTGGGCGGCATAGCTTCGCTAGTACTGCCCAGAGCGCAAGAGGTTCTTGGCTGCAAATGGCAGCAGAAGGGTATGAATCGGGGTATGAATCGGGTATGAATCGGGGGTATGAATCGGGGGACAGATTTTTTTTCGACCGGAAAGACACCAAGAGTACCCCAGGAGCACAAAGACAGCTTGTGTTTCACTGCGACAGTGGCCCAGGACACACAGCTGTTTCCACCGCGTCGGACAGACTGCATGCTACAGACAACTCTAGTACCAGGACATCCGCAGGATTGCTCTATAACTCCATCCATTGGCAAAAATGGCCCCCCACGAGTAAGCAGTGAGTGTGTGAGTGGACATGTCAACTGTACTTGGCCCCATGACATCAGAGCCCAACCATGCAAGCATCGCAGACTCAAGGATAGATCCAGGAACCACAAGTGAACCAGCCTCGGAGTCCCTACCCCCCCCTGGCATCGGTCCACATGTCAAGCTCTCTAACACTGTTTCTTGACAAGACCCCCTTCTTCACTTGAAGTTAAATCCCCTATACCTCCCAGCTATCCATGGATCACATGCAACTGCCACAGTTCTTGCAAGTTCTTTTTTTGTGTTTTTTAAGGGGTGTGACTCGGGGTATGGCTCGGGGGTATGGCTCGGGGTATGATTCGGGGGTATGGCTCGCCCAAGCCCCACCTCCCACGAAGACTAAAGAACTGACACAGTAAAAAAACACAGACCCACATCTTTTAAGGCGCCCGGTCAAAAGAAAGCAGTTTGCAATCCCATCCCAAGCCTTCCAGCCTTTTTTGAGATGTCTGCTTGTAGGTACCAGGATGCTTTTGGCTTCAAAAGAACCCCGCCCCCACCAAAAAACACCCCCAAAACTAATCTAACAAGACGAAAGATACCCAAGGTTGCAAGGGAACTACCCAGTTACCCCAGTTGCAACCATGCTTATAACTGCAAACTACATGGGTTCAACATCCAGGTTGGGTGGGCAACCACGAGGGTTGACCGCAAACACAGACATACACACAGAGACACAGAGACACAGAGACACAGAGACACAGAGACACAGAGACACAGAGACACAGAGACACAGAGACACAGAGACACAGAGACACAGAGACACATACACACAGAGACACAGAGACACAGAGACACAGAGACACAGAGACACAGAGACACAGAGACACAGAGACACAGACACACAGACACACAGACACACAGACACACAGACACACAGACACACAGACACACAGACACAGACACACAGACACACAGACACACAGACACACAGACACACAGACACACAGACACACAGACACACAGACACACAGACACACAGACACACAGACACACAGACACACAGACACACAGACACACAGACACACAGACACACAGACACACAGACACACAGACACACAGACACACAGACACACAGACACACAGACACACAGACACACAGACACACAGACACACAGACACACAGACACACAGACACACAGACACAGACACACAGACACACAGACACACAGACACACAGACACACAGACACACAGACACACAGACACACAGACACACAGACACACAGACACACAGACACACAGACACACAGACACACAGACACACAGACACACAGACACACAGACACACAGACACACAGACACACAGACACACAGACACACAGACACACAGACACACAGACACACAGACACACAGACACACAGACACACAGACACACAGACACACACACAGACACACAGACACACAGACACACAGACACACAGACACACAGACACACAGACACACAGACACACAGACACACAGACACACAGACACACAGACACACAGACACACAGACACACAGACACTCAGACACACAGACACTCAGACACACAGACACACAGACACACAGACACACAGACACACAGACACACAGACACACAGACACACAGACACACAGACACACAGACACACAGACACACAGACACACAGACACACAGACACACAGACACACACACACAGACACAGACACACAGACACACAGACACACAGACACAGACACACAGACACACAGACACACAGACACACAGACAAACAGACACACAGACACACAGACACACAGACACACAGACACACATACACACAGACACACAGACACACAGACACACAGACACACAGACACACAGACACACAGACACACAGACACACAGACACACAGACACACAGACACACAGACACACAGACACACAGACACACAGACACACAGACACACAGACACACAGACACACAGTCACACATACACACAGACACACAGACACACAGACACACAGACACACAGACACACAGACACACAGACACACAGACACACAGACACACAGACACACAGACACACAGACACACAGACACACAGACACACAGACACACAGACACACAGACACACGGACACACAGACACACAGACACACAGACACACAGAGAACACACAGAGACAGACACACACAGACAACAGACACACATACAGACACACACAAAACACACAGAGACAGACACACAGACACACAGACACACAGACACACAGACACACAGACACACAGACACACAGACACACAGACACACAACACACAGACACACAGACACACAGACACACAGACACACAGACACACAGACACACAGACACACAGACACACAGACACACAGACACACAGACACACAGACACACAGACACACAGACACACAGACACACAGACAGACAGACAGACACACAGACAGACACACAGACAGACACACAGACAGACACACAGACAGACACACAGACAGACACACAGACAGACACACAGACAGACAGACAGACAGACAGACAGACTCACAGACAGACACACAGACAGACACACACAGACACACACACAGACACACACACA